CGAGAGTTAAGGACACCATGTTATTATAACCATCACGATAGGTGACCAAATAATCATTATTGACAAGAAATTAGACACAAAAACAAGACTAACCGAATAAGATGAAAAAAAATATGACGACGATTTCATTAGACGCTGTCATAAGTTGAGGAAACTGCAGAACAAATACAGCGACTACAGTTAGTGCTTTTTATATAGGGACTTTGTATTAACTGTACAAATACGAATAAAAGAGATATATTTTTTATTTGGGTATCTAAAATTATACCTTGTACCGCACATCTACACATATTCCTATGTTAAAAAGCAATTGCATAAAGTCATATTTATATCGTATCATAAAACTTTTATTAAATAAATAAATAAATTAAGAAAAACGCAAATATTTTTTTTTTCACACAACATATTTTAGTATTCCAAAATAAATTTTTTAAAAACAAATTTTTGCAAAATGTATTAACAGCAAAAGGCATACAGCGCCGTGAGCTACCTTAATTGGTGCATGCTGAGTACAAAATATTTGCTCCATAAACCTGACCAACTAACATCATTTCGTTTTGTTTACATTTCAAGTCAAACTATGCTGTTAGATAAAGATACTTTGCAATACAAAGTAAAAATACCACAAGAAATATGTGAAATTAACAACTTTGAAGTTAATTGTTTTCATATCAAATTTCAATAATAATTTGTGGTTATTGCACCGACAAGTCTTTTTCTGCAGTCGTCTAAAAGAAGTTAATAGTAACTTTTAACGCCCATGAGGCAATGTTCTTTTTTCTACTATTTAAAGGTATATGCATGTGATCTGAAAAGAAAAAAAAAGATTTTAAATATTTTTTTAAAATAAATTTTTATTTATTGTTTTCCAAACAATTATTGTTAGCTGTTTAGTTTACCTATGAACGCCTCTACTATTTGCCTATGCTTTTAATGCCTTTAATTTAACTGACACTTTGACTCAACTCGAGAATATTTTTAATAATTTCTTAAGTAATTCTTAATATAGTGTTTTTTCAGTATACGAATATTTTTTTTCCACGGAAATATTAAATCTTGAAGTAGCAAAACTATTAAGGTAATTGTTTTCCACACCTTTGGCGTAATATTTTTAGATGTGGGTATATTTGGGTTATAATTTGTTATAAGCCAAGTGTGTTTTGCCAAATTCAATTATTCTTTTTTTTGTGTTCTTCAATTTTAGTTCCTGAAATGTGTTTACGAAATTTTTTTTGAAATAAATAAATACACTAACAACAAATGAATGTTACAAAAGCATTGGAATTAATTAATGAGATTAAATCATATATATACATATGATATATGATATGATATTGAAAATGTCATCTTTGACCCTTGCTTGATTTCTTTTCTTCTCAAATATCCATATAATCATTTAAAAGTTTAACTTATTTAGATATTGAAAATGTCCCTGTAACAAACTAAGCTTTCTTAATTGTGCATATTTCAAATATTCAGTATTAAATATTAAATAGTATATAAAATATTAATGTGGAATATAAATATTCAATTCCTGCATCAGAGAAATCAAATTTTTTCTTTATTTTTACTTGAATACATATTCAATATTGGCATTAATTCATTCAAATAGGTATGCAATATATAATATTTTGTGAAGTGGGCATTTCGTTCATTATTAAACTAGACTCTGCTCTTATAATCTTTGATTTTAAGTAGTGCTATTTAAAATGATTATTTTTTTTTTAAATTCTAATATTAACATATCTTTTGCTTTTACTTTTAATTTTTGTATTCATATACAAATATTTCAATGCAGTTTAGATACTGAGCTACTGAGCTTGAATATAGTGAAAACCCTTGCAACCTATACTTCTCTTGTGCGAACAGTTTTTTTTTATTTTTTAAATGCCATTTATGTAGAACGACTTTAAATCTTTTAGGCAGACAATCTTTTTATTCCAACAAAAATCGATATTACTACTTATCTTATTTTAAAACAAGAGTGATGGGCGATATATACATATTTTAGAACTATAATCAATTTATTTATCTTTATAAATTTACTTCAAAATCCACTTTCATTTATTTTTTCATTTTAATATTCATATAAATACATTTAATGTATATATTTAATGTAACTCATCTCTATTTAAATATAAGCTACATCTAAATCTGAAAGAAAGTTACTTATAAATTTAAGAAAATTATTATACTTTTAAAATATTCTATTTCTGAACAGTGAATCTCCGCTCAACAGAGTTTTCACTGTAGATACTTAAAAACATTACAAAAACAAGAATATTGCGACATCGAAAAACTATAACAAATATTTTTATTATTTCAATACAAAGGGCATAACAAAATCTCAAGGTTACGAAACATCGTAATTGTTTATTATTCTAGTAAGATAAAAAAAAAAACAAAATTTAATTAAAATTAAAATTTAATTAAATTAAATTATCATTATGAAAACAAAATATTTTTATTGTAGCTTTGACCTTTGTGGGCTTAGATATGTTTTGTAATTTAATTCAATTTAATGGCTAACAAAATATGAATGCGCTTTCGCACGAAGCTTAAAAAATGATAAATTGATTTTTTATGATTTTGACGATTTTTATGAATGAACCGAACCAATCGCAATGCAAACCGCGTTCATATCAAGAAAATTTCTGGTCATTAAACTTCGAAATTATGGTCAACAAAAAATTAATTTTAAATATGAGCAAAATGAAGAAAACTAAATACAATTGAAAAAGTAATGAAATATAAAATTTCGAACCAAATGCCCATGGGCAAAGCAACAAATTAAGAAGTGCAGATTCCAATGTGATTCGAGACCGTGCTTTCATGGGTTGCTCGATTAGGGAACCCAGTTGAAATACGTGTCAATAATATCTTTACTATTTGACAATTTCAAGTTTCTTTGAAGTGTTTGGTGTTGCTTTGTTGGCTTGTTAACGCAGTTTGTAAAGGTATGAACACTTCACTTCAGGTTAACGAGCCTGAAATTGAAAGATACTACAATTTTGATTGTTTGACAAATTATTGACCGCAATGTATCAGTGCCCAATAACAATACCTTAAATAAGTGAAATTATTATGTGAAAAATATTTACGCTTTGATTGCTTAGTGTAATATTGTTTTAATTTATATTTTCATTATGATGTACATATTCATTCAAACTAAAACAAACTAGCTTTCTTTAGTGAAAGTATTACAAACAATTGTTTTTTTAAACGTCGTTTCAAACATATGAATTTATAAATTAATTAACTTAACATAATGATTATATTATTTTTTATAAATTATTATTTAACATTTGAAATTAATATATTATTTATTTTTATATTGATATATATCAAAATTTTAATAGTTAATAAAACATTCAAATTTATTATATAAAAATATATATAAGACAATATTTTGAAATTAATATATCATTTATTTTTATATTGATATATGTCAACATTTTACTAATTAAATAAAACATTTGAATTTATTATATAAAAACATATACAAAACAATATTTTGAAATTAATATATCGTTTATTTTTACACTGATATGTATCGAAATTTTAATAGTTAATAAAATATTTAAATTTATTATATAAAAATATATATAAAACAATATTTTGATATTAATATATCATTTATTTTTACACTGTATCGGATTTTA